GTTTTCTTTTTCCTTTTTTTGTTTTTTTAATTGTTCTCTCTAATTCTCAACATCCGGAAATTAATTTCTTTTTTCCTTTTTTTTAAAATTTTTATTTCGTTCTTGTATCGATCGAATCGATCTCGTATCGTTCGATATATTTTTTTTTTTTTTTAAATCGATTTTATAATTTTATTTAAAAGAATCGAAAAGAAAAAAAAAAAAAAAAGAAAAATTTGAATCGAATGACGTAAAACCGACGCTGAAAACATTCGCGAATAATCGAAAAATAAACAAAGGCATCGCATTTTAAAAAGAATTAATTAATTCATTGTATTGTTTCGAACGATTCAATCGATTTTAAATCCATTAAAGATCGATCAAATCGATCGATATAAAGAAGGTTTCAACATCTCAAACAAAAAAAAAATTTTTTTATAGAAAAGGAAAAACTTTAGTGAGTTTTTGTTTCACTTTTCTTTACAAGGTAATTAATTTTTTTTTTTTTTTTGGTTTACTCTCGCGTTGATCGATCCATCGATCGATCGATCGATCGATTATCGATAGGAAAAAAAAAAGAAGACGCAATCAATTTTATCAATTTTGAAAAAAAAAAAAAAAATTTATTAATTATCATTTATTATTAACATAAGTGTGTAGTAACGCCAGATTGATTACAAAATTTTTTTTATCAGTCGAGTTTGTTGCATTCGTTTGTTCGTTTGTTTGTTTGTTTGTATTTTACACCCCCCCCCTTCAAAATTTTATATTTTAATATTTTTTTGTTGCGTTTTAAGATTGTTTTTTTTCTTTAAATAATTCAAATTTTTCATTTCACCTGTTTGTTGTTGTTTTGTTATAGACAAACGTTGTTGGGTTGTTTTCTTCAAGTTGTGATAAGACAAGAGAGTAAGTCAACCAGAATTTTTTTTTTTGAAATAATTTTTCTCGCGTTTGTTGTTTTCAAATTTTTTTTTTTTGTTATTATCATATTTCGCAATTTTGTTATTATTAAAAATATTTCTAGACGAAATAAAAACTATTTGAAAAAAAAATTAGGTGAACGCGATTGTTTTAATAATAATAATAATAATAATAGTAAAACATTTGAGTTTGCAAATTTTTTAAAAAAATTTTAACAAAAAAAAAAAAAAAAACGATTGTACGACACGTCATTATATTTATTTATCGATTTTTTTTTCTTTTGAAATTTTTTTTTTTTTCCAACGTGTAACTAACCAACAAACAAACGAACAAACAGACAAACAATCATTTCTAACGATTGTTACAACCGTTTGTTTTTTAATTGATTCTCTTTTACACATGATTTGTTTTGAATGGGAACAACAATCTACGTCACGAATCATTTTTAATTTTTTTTTTTTTTAATCTAATCCGGAAGTCAAAATAATAAAAAAGTTTTGTGGTGGTGGTGAGGGGGTGGGGGTGTGAAGGGCGGGGAATCATTTTAAACTGGCACATCAATATTATTATTATTATTATTAATAAACGATCGTGATTTATAACGTCACGTGATTTTTAAAATTTATTTTTAATTTTTTTTCGATGGTTTTCACGTGTAAATTTGAAATTTTCAGGTTTAAAATAATAATAATAATTATTATTATTTATTGCGTGACGTTTGAAAGTTTTTTTTTTTTTAATTATATGACATCGATCGCGAGTACGCGATAATGATAATAATAATGATGATGATGATGATGACGACGATACCGAATTGAAAATTTCGAGTGAAACTTTTGGAATTTTTTTTCTTACGTTTTGCGTTATACGTTTTTCTCAATTTTTTTGGAGAAAGTAAAAAAAAAAAAAAAATTTTATCCGAAACCTTCTAGAATAAAAAATTTAAATTATAATTTAATAATTAGTTTTTTTTTTTTTTAAATAAATAAAGATGGCGTCGATCGATGAGGTGTAGAAACGTTAAGATGTTATGAAACTTCACAAAAATTTTTTTTCTTATTTTTTTTCCAGCTTTTTTTTTCTCGCGTTTATAGCTCTTGGATATTTTATAGCATTTTACAGCGTTTTATAGAGTTTTATAGTTCTTAAAGTTAACTAAATTCTCTATAATTCATGTTGAGTTAATTCATAAAATGAAATAAAATAAAATGAAGCAACGGAAACGCGGTACTACACACACGGTGAAGATTCGTTTAATCGTAACATATAGGTTATAACCTTGGCCTTGAAAACTCATTTATTATTATCATCATCATCATCATCATCATCATCATCATCATCATCATCTGTTGTTAGATTTCTAAAAAAAAAAAAAAAAACAAGTAAAAAGAAGATTTTTTTTTTCCTTCGACTAATTAAAAATTTTTCATTAAAATTAATTGCGTGTGAAAATTAACTTTTTTTTTTTTTCATATTCATTTTCGTTTTCATTTTCATTTTCTGGTGACACGATTTTTTTTTTAAACATATAATTAAATCGCGTTAAAGTGTTTTGTTTTTTTTTCTCGCGAACATGTTTTAAAACATTTTTTAACGCGTAAAAGATAAAAACGTGAAATTAAAAAAAAAAAAATTATTTTTCTTTCGACGGCGAAAATTTCCAAAAAATTCCATTGTTTATTGTTAATAATAATAATAATAATGATGATGATGATGATGATGATAATGATGATAATTAGCCGGTTTCGTTATTTCGTCCTTGTAATAATTTTCAATTTTTTTTTTAATAATAATAATAATAATAATAATAATAATAATAATGTTATTTTGATGACATTTTTTTTTTTAGTTTTTTAAATTTTTAAAATTTAAAAAATTTTGTTTTGGCGGGAAAATCAGAAAAAAATTAAAATTCAATTTTTAAACGCACGTGTTTTTTTTTTTGAAATTACAAGAAAATAACGGAAACGTTTGTTTGAGTGAGTTTACATGGGGGGGGGGGGGAAATCATAATTCACGTAACAAAAAAAAAAAAAATTAGTAATCGTTTAACGATCAATTTGCTATCGTTTAATGCAACCATCGAAGCATTCATGTTTAATCATCTGTAAAACTTTACCTAACTACTGGTCATAAATTGTTTTAAAAAAAAAAATCACAAATAACGTTTATTATCATTTTTGTTTTTTTTCGTCTTTCGTTTTTGTCAAAATAAATTTGACGTTAAGAAAAATAAATTATTTTTTGATTATTATAATAAGACAATTGGATAATGAAATTTTTCTCTCTCTCTCTCTCTCTTCTCTTCATCTTTTATTCTCTCTCATCTTTCTCATCTGTGTATTTATTCTCATCTGTGTGCGTGTGTATCTCTCTCTCTTTTCTGTTTCTCTTTGTCTGTTTCTGGATATTTCCTTCTCTCTCATTGTCTTCTGTTTGTCTCTCTTTTTCTCTCTCTCTCTCTTTGTCTGTCTCTGGTTATTTCCGTTTCTTCGTCTCCTGTAAATCTATCTCTTTTTCTATTTTTCTCTCGCTCTTTTTCTCTCTTTCTTCCCTTTTAATTCTCTTATCCTTCTTTCTGTCTCATTTTCCTAATTTTGCTAATTTTCTCATTCTTTTTTTCGCCTTTTATTCCCTCTCATCTTTCTCAACTGCGTATATATGCGTGTTGTCCCTCTATCTCTTTTTCTCTGTGCTATTTCCCTCTCTCTTTGCCTTCTGTTCTCTTTTTGTTCCGTGTATCTCTTTTTGTTCTCTCTTTATCTTTTATTTTCTCATCATTCTTGTGTGTGTGTGTGTGTGTGTGTTATTTTCCCTTTTCTCCTTCTCTTTACCATTCTCTTTGGCTATTTCTCTCTTTCTCCATTTTTTTTCTGTCTATTACTCTCTCCTTTTTGTTTCTCTTTTCTTCCTATTTTATTCTCTATCTCTCTTTATCTTCCTCTCTTATTTTTAAAATTTTCTTTCGTTTCTTTATCCCTATCTCTCTCTTCATTCCACCTTCTCTCTTTCTTCATTTTGAACGTATTGCATCTACTGTAGTTTCAATAAATTTTACCTTCCAAAAAAAAACGATGAATGCTTCGACTAATAATAATAATAATACTTGTTAAGAAACAATTATAAATAAATTTCAAAACATTAAAAAAAAAAAAAAAAATTATTAAACGTATTATTAGTAGTTACTCAATCCAAAAAAAAGGCACCGATGTTATTCGAACCGTACAAAAACAAACGAACAAACAAACAAACTTCTTTCTTTATCATTATTACTAATATTAATAAATCTGTAAAAAACTAAAAAGGGAGAAATGGGGGGAGGGGAGATGGGGAATTTCATAACTTTTTCACAGTTTACCGATTTCACCGTTACGACAAAATAAAAAAAAAATTTTTTTTTTTTAAACCAAAGTTATAATAACGATGATGATGATGAGAAGTTTTCAAATATTTCAATAACATCAACGTCGTACAAATTCCCTTCCCCTTCTCTATTCCTCCCCCCTCCCCCCAAAAAATCAATAAATTAATAAATAATCGATAAGTAAATAAATAAAGTAAAAAAATTTCCACCGCCTTCTTTTTTTTTTTTTTTTGCTTAAAGTTAATAATAATTTTTATTTATTTATTTATTTACAGGTAACCAATCGAAAGTTATAAAATCAAGTTGAAAAAAAAAAATAAAAATCGCATTCTTTAGCATTCGTGGCATTAGAGAGAGAGAGAGAGAGAAGGAGATAAAAAAATTAACATTGACACACGTGTAGTCGCGATTACGATTACGATGATGATGATGATGTTTCCGTTGGAATTTTAAGAAAAAATTCGCGTCACGGTCGGTTTCTTCCTTCCTTCATTCCTTTTGTGCGTATTCGACTTTGTTTTATTATTATTATTATCATCATTTATTTATTTATTTTTTTTCGTAAAATTATGTAATTATTTTATTAATGTGTAAAAAGTGATTTTTCTCTCCGTGATTGTGATTTAAAAAAAAAGGTGAAAAATGGTGAAGTAAATGAATTTTATTAATAATAATAAATCGTTATAAAATTGAATAAGTAAAGAAAAAATAATAATAATAATAATAATAAAAAATGGCGGGAGAAGAATATTCGATAGTTAATCCGTCTGACGTAAATGGAATAATAACGGAACAATTATTAAAAAATTTAACGGAAATAAACGACATTGAAAACACGGTGTATAAAGATTTGATAAAGGCAAAAGTATTATCGATCGTCGTTTTAGGATTAGTTTCCTTTTTACTGGGTCTACTTCCGTTAAAATTAGCCAAATGGTTCAATTGGGATTTTATTAAAAATAACGAAGGCGGTGGTGGCGGAAAAACAAGTCACGGAAATCTAGTCATATCGTTATTACTTTGTTTCGGCGGTGGAGTTTTGATATTTACAACATTCATACACTTGCAACCGGAAGTGAGAGAAGAATTAGAACATTTGATAAAGGAAAAAAAAGCACCGGATTTTCCACAGTTGGCAGACTTGGTTTTCTGCCTGGGATTTTTTTTCGTTTATTTAATCGAAGAAATCGTACACGGCGTCATCGAAAGAAAACACAATCACAACGAGGACGAAACGTTTTTCCACAGGACGGTGAGTTTGAGGAGTTGCAACAAGGGTAAAGAAAGACGTGGTAATAATAATAATAACGTCGTCGTCATGGCGGACGGACGCGAAAAAATAATGACGGCTCGACCCAAGATGAATCATTTAAATCCGGATGAAAAAATATCAAACGATTCGAATAGTCCGAAATCAATGTCGACGCAAATTTTATTCGATTCTTCGAGCGTGTCGACTTTGCATCAAAATGTTGGCAGTAATGGTGTCGGTGTCGGTGGTACCAACATATTCGAAGAAAGTTATCCGAATAGATTTTCACCGTTGGATCCGGAGAGTCATTTGAATGGTGGTGATAAATACGGGATATACGCCATGTCGTACGGAGGAATACACGACGATTGCAAAGCAGAAGACGACGATAAGAGTAAAAATAATTACGATAAATCGAGAGTGTATAAGAAATCGAGCCATCATTCTTCTCATAATCATCATTGTCATTCGTTTTTCGATAGCGATACCTCGTCGTCGAGTTCCGGGGATTCTCTTCATCTCGCGAACACTTTCAGAGGTTTTTTCACCGTTTTGGCATTGAGTTTTCACGCCGTTTTCGAGGGTTTGGCCGTGGGTTTGGAAAACGAAGTATCAAACGTTTGGTATTTGTTTTTGGCCATAGCGACCCATAAATTCGTTATAGCTTTTTGCGTCGGCGTCGATCTCGTGAGCACGAAAACGAAAAATTTTCTCATTTTATTATATTTGGGAACTTTTGCTTTCGTCACCCCTCTGGGTATCGGAATCGGAATCGCACTTTCGAACGATCCATCGAAATCCGGTAGCGAATTATCGACCGTCATTCTTCAGGGAATGGCTGCCGGAACGCTTTTGTACGTCGTCTTTTTCGAAGTCCTACAAAGGGAAAGAGCCAACAATCAATCTGGGATTTTACAATTGATGGCGATCGTTGCCGGATTCGGAGTCATGTTCGCACTACAATTTATAAGTAAGTTTTTTTACTATGTTTTTTACTGCTTGCCGACGAATCGTGAATTCTTGCTGCTGTCCACCTGATCACGTGGTATAATTTTTTCCCCTTCATTCATTTATTTATCATCGACGACGACGACGAAGACAACTAATCGACGACGATGACTTTATACATAAATAAATTTTTTTTTTTTAAATTATTTAAAAAATTTTTTTTTTTTACCCGGAGAACAATTAATTAATTTATCGCACGCACCACGTAATAATAATAATAATAATAATAATAATAATAATTAATTAATTACGAGAAAATTAATTAAAAACTTTGTTTGAATTATTAATAATCATACGAGAGAGAGAGAGAGAGAGGGAGAAAAAAAAAGTTAAAAAAAAAAAAAAAAATGGCAACTTAAATATATTCGATAAAAATTTTTTTATTTCATTTCCTACGTGTAAGTTTTTGAAAGTAAGAAAAAATCGACGAATCGATGGATCGATCGATCGATCGATTCATCGATAGATCGATAAATTACTTATCGTTAATCAAATAAAAAAAAAAATTTGTATTTACTAAATTGACTGACAACTGAGTAAAAAAAAAAAAAAAAGTTATCGAAGTTGAGAAAAAATGATTTTTTTTTTTTCCAGTTAAAAGTGAGAGAAATTATTATTATTATTATTATTATTATTATTAAGAAATCAGACACGCACACGCACCTCCTCCTCCTCTTCTCCCCCTTTCTACTTCTCCTTCCTCTTCCTCCAATTGATTTTTACGTACGTATTACGTAAATCCGCATTCAAGTTTTTTTTTTTTTTTTTTTTTGGTTAATTAAACGAAACCGTTATTATTATTATTATTATTAGTAATCCGGGATAAATTATTATTTCAGACTTTAAATGATTCCAGTGACGTACGTGTTTTACCGTATTTATTTATTTACCCTTCGAGTCGCGGTTTTTTTTTTTTTTTTACCTTTTAAATTATATTAGTTCGGAAACACCGGAAATAAATATTTTTTTAATGGGTCAATAAGCGCAAACGCGGCCGCAACAATTTCCTTAATACTCTCCTAACTCGTGAAAGTTACGTAATTTGAAAGTCGTTTTATCATTATTATTATCACCATCATTATTATTAATAAATAAATAAATGGAATATTCCATGGTTCCAAACGAATTACCGGATAATTTTTTTATTTTTTTTTTTTATTTCTTTTTTTTACATTTGAAAAATATTAATAAACTCGTCGTCCATTGACTCCCAAGTGGATTTTTTCTTTTTTTCTGTTTATCAAAATTCAAGGTCATTTATATAAATAAATTAACGATCGCATTATTATTATTATTATTATTATTATTTCGAGAACTTTCGATACGTCGAACGTAATCGTAATTTTTATGTAAATGTATTGATTGATCCGTTACGTTCGTTTGTTCGTTTTTTAGTTCAGAAAAAAACAAAAGTATGAATAACGTTAAAAAAAAAAAAAATTATTATTATTATTATTATTATTATTATTATTATTGTTTTAATTACGTAACGAAAAATTATAAAAATGGCGGAATTTTTCTTGTTTCGATCTGGTCGATAATCGACCGATTATTATTATTATTATTTTTTTTTTTTTTCGTGGCGCGAACGATCGTCGAATCCGGAATCCGGTTTTTTTTTTTTTTATTTTCCTTACTGATTTTATTTAAATTCATGTTTTATTATTATTATTATTATCATTAATTTATCTCGCGGAGTTTTCTATTATTTAATTTAAAAAATAAAAAAAAATTTTTTTCCTTTTTTTTTCTTTTTGAATTTACTTCCGGTTTAAAATTTTCCTCATTTCCACCCAGCTTCCTGTGATTTTCTTCCTTTTTCTTTAAATAAACTTTTTTTACCGTCTAAAAAAAAATTTTTTTATCGAGCTTGAAAACCTCGAAAATCGACAACGCGACAAAGCAAAAAAAAATTATTATTATTATTATTATTATTATTATTATCGAGATTCGATATTCTAGAAAATTCCTTGACCGAAATCACAAGGAAATTTAATAAGAAAAAAAATAAATAAGTAAATAAGTAAATAAATAATTTTTTCTACGTCTTTTCATTTTCATAAATCAAATTCAAATATTATTATTATCATTATTATTATTATTATTAATATTCTCCTTCTCCTCATCATCATTATCATCATCATCATCATCATCGTCATATTAAAAATTTACCATAAATTAAATTTATTATTTTTTTAAAAGACGCGCAAGTACCCACACGTTTTGATTTTTCAAATTAAAAAAAATTCGCGCGCTTTTTAAAATAAAAATCGATTAATTTATATCGATCGATATTTATCGAAAATTTTATCATTTTTTTTTTCTATTCAATATCGAAAAATGTAAAAGACAAAGCAAAAAAAATTTTTTTTTTTTTTTTAAATTAAAATTCGTTTCAATCGACGTCATCACGAAAATCTCATATCGATTATCTCGAAAATCTCGAAATGTTTCGATATATTTTTATTTTCTCTCTCTCTCTCTCTCTCTCTCTCTCTCTCTCTCTCTGTGATTAGAAATCTTTATAAATTTTCCGGTTTTTTTTTCTTTTTTGCATTTTTTTCTATATTATTTTGAAAAATATTTAGGGTAGGTTAAAATAAAAGGGTAATAAATGTATACAATGACGTCACTGGATGTTTTTATCGATAAGAAACGAATGATAACGTCGATTATGATTTTAAAAAAATATTTTTAGTATCGATTTAATTATAATTCGATTGCAGTAAATCCGGTTGTGTATAAAAAAAAACGAACCTGAACTTCCAGGTTGTTTGGTTTAGTTGTTTTTTTTTTTTTTTTTACGGAATGCGTTAAGTTCTGGAAAATTTTTATAACAAAAAAAAATAACCGCAAAAACCAATACCTGTACGATACCTGATTACTCGACTCGATAAAAAAAAAAAAAAAAAAAAAAACTTTAAAAACTTTTGCCAATGATTTTTAATTATGTGTGTGTGTCCGCCATTTTGTTTTTTTATATAAACGCAAATCATAACTGACGTGTTTATTTATTTTATTTTTTTTTTTAAATTTTACGCCGTTAAAAAAATTTTTTATTTAAATAATAAAAATCATCTAGTGAAAGTTTTAAAATTGTTAAAAACTCCCAACAAACAAACAAACAAACAAACAAACGGGCAAAAAAACAAACAAACAAACGAAAAATCGCGTTGAAATTTTTTTTTTTTTTTTTTTTTTTTTTTTTTTTACCGATCGAGAATCTTTTATTGCCGCCGCAGCCATTATTATTATTAAAAATTCGAATTTTTTTTTTTTTACTCTATGACTCACGTCATCGACGTTGAATTTTTTTCATGGAAAAATTTTGTCTTTTCATTTCCGGTTATTATTATTATTATTATTATTATTTTTAAAAGAAAATTGTTGTTTTTTTTTTTTAATCGATTATTTATCTATGAAATATTTTATACAATTAAATCTCTCGTTTTACTTCCTCTCTCGTATTAACAAACAAAAAACAAATTATTATTATTATCATTATCATTATCATTATTAGTATTATTATTATTAGAACACCTGAATGAATTCCGAATAAATAACGAATTTAATATTTTTATTTATTATTTAAACAATTTTTTTTTTTTTTTTTTTCAATTTTGTCATTTGAGTATTTTATGTTTTATTATTATTATTATTATTAATATTCCCCGTACACAATGTTTGTTTTTGTGTGTGTGTTTGTTCGAGTGTTTCTTCCCCCTCCCCCAACATTCATTCCAGGTTTTCTCCCTGTTCCCCAAGGACTAAATTCCCGAATAGGTTTTTTTCTCGGTTTTTTACAACCCTAACGGAGCCGCATAAATTCCAAGACTTTCCGAGTCTTTATTACTCTATGGAATTTTTATGTCCTGAATTGGGGACGTACACATTCCTGGAGGGATCAGAACCGGAAGTTGTTGTTTAGGATCGACAAACGAAAGAAAAATAATTTTTTTTTTTTTTTTTTTTTTTATTTTGTCATTGTCTTTTCATGTTTTTCTAACGGCGGGGGATCATAATATCATTATTATTATTTAAATTACGTAATACGTTGTGACTTTTATACGACGTGGTTATAGAAAACGTGAGAAGAAACGTGTTGGAAACACGTTTGTAAATATATTAATCATTTCGACTTCCGAATTATAAAATTAAAAAGAAAAAAAAAAAAAAAAAAGTTTCAAACGAGAAAATACACACAATCGTACGATGATAATAATAATAATAATAATAATAATAATAATAATAATAATTACATGGTAAAATACAAGTTTAGTTATACGTTTAAACAATAAAATGTATTTCCGGTTTGTTTTCTTTATGTTTTTTTTTTTTTTTTTTTACACGTCGTGGAAATTATGTAAAAAAAAAAAAATAGAAAAACATGTAAGAAAGAAAGTCAATAAATCAAAAACAATAAAAAAAAGCAGAAGAAGAAAAAGAAGGAAAACCGGATATTGCGATATAAAACCGGCTAATGTTCGATGTTAGTTTCTAGAATATTCTTTAAATTCTCACGGTAGCAAAATAATTATTTTATTAAATAATAACAATGAGCCACGAAAAAAAAAAAAAATTTCACTTTTAAAATAAAATAATTAACGAATAATAAAAATTTTTATTTAAAAAAAAAACCGGAAGTGGAAACGTAAAAATCCGGTTTTAATGAATAATTTTTTTTTTTTTTTCATCTGCCACGACAAACATGTTTATGACGTAGACAAAAAAAAAAAAAAAATTTTTTTCATCAATTCGATGATTAAACGCGATCACTTAAAGTAAAAGAATAATTAATTAATTAGACCTGAATTCATTATTAAATAAGTAAAACGATTCCAAATTTTTTTTAAACGTTTCTCTAATACCCATTCAATGAATGAATGAATGAATGAATGAATGAATTAAATTAAATTTTTTTTTTTACTTTATTTGATAGTTGTATAAAAATTTAAATTTAAAACTTTTTCCGTTTGGAAATTAATCAAAAAAAAAAAAAGTTGTTGAATGTTATAAACTTATTAGGTTTAAAAAGTCATCATCATTACCCTTCACCGTGACTACTGCCACGTCTTTTTTTTTTTTTTTTCATTCCAATTAAAATTTAATTTGTCGGGTAAATTGATGAGAAAAAAAATAATAATACTAATAATAATTTGTTTTTTTTTTTTTTTTTTTTTTAAATTCTTTCGTTTCAAATTCGATTTTCTTCATTTAATAATTTTTCGTGTCGATAGAATTTTTTTTTTAGTTAGTGACACGACGAGTAATTTATATAAATTATTTATTTATTTACATATACTTTTTTCTAAATAAAATGATTAAAAAAAAGAAAAAAAAAATCATTCGACGTTTGTTTTTTTACTCTATGATGATGACAATTATCGATTATGTAAAAGACTAATAATAATAATAATGATAATGATAATAATAATAAACCACAAATACAAAAAAAAAAGATTTTATTTTATTTTTTTTTTTTCGAATCAATTGATTTTTAAATTATGACCTTGTGTCACGCAGATTTACGCGAGAAAAAAGAACCGAATTAAGTAATTTTAAATCTTATTACGAACGTGATGATGATAATGATAATGATGATGATGATGATGATGATGACGTAATCGTTTCCCTTCACTCTATCGTATATAAATATATTTAGTCACGAGTGATCTCGAAATCAATTTTTTTTTTCTTTTTCTTTTTTTAATTATTA